AAAAGGGCACGATGAGCCGAATGAACATCTCGGCATGAACTCGTGCCCCTCAACAAGAATGCGATTCTGATAATACATGATAGTACATGATAATACGATATAATACGGGTTGTAGCACATTTAGTTGGTCAAAACAGTGTTTGATTCCACTCATAGAGGTCAGCACACTTGAGCATGCCAAACCGGCTGCTCGATTGCGTGGTCGCTGCACTTTTGAAGCTCCCAAAACTAACTTATCAGACTTATCAGTTGCCCCCTTTTTGTGTGACGGACAACTCCAGATTGCTTTGGACTGCCTTGAGACTCTATCCGTCCTGAGAAAGGCCTTCTCCGTTTTGACAAAGCCTACGTGAAACTCAACAGAACCGTCGCGGTTTGGGCAAACCCAAAGGATCCCAAAGGTATGAAGAGAAAGAGCGGTTGCACGTCACGTTGCGGTGAAGCAAATGCTTTCAGGCAGCCGCCTTCATTGAGGGCATCCATGGCTGAGATTCGGTGTGTTCACCCCTCTGCGTGCGCCAAACCGAGACGATGTGGTGGAGATCACTTGGCTGCCACATTGATCTCCTGCCAGGGGGGTCGTCGCAAGAAGACACTCCTCCTCCTGATCCCAACCAGTCAGTTTTAGTGCATGTCGTATCTATTAGGATGGTGATGGATGGTGTCTCTACGACGTTTTGCTCCAAATACATAACCAAAATAATTGGGACACCCCTCCAAACCCCAGGCACCCACCTTCGAAGTCTGCATCCAATTGAATTCATCGAAATTCATGGCCCACCCTCTCTCCACATGTCATCTTGGAATGGTATCGCCTCCGGGGCCCAGGGGGATGTTCATTCCGTCGCGGTCCATGAGCGAGCGGCTTTTTTGGATTGTTACCTGGAACGGAGCAAAGTGATTCGCCTCGTCGCCAACTGCGAGCAAACTTCGACGAGTCCGCCCCACACTGGGGACCTCAGGACCTCTGTCGAAGAACCCGGACGGAAGGACGGAAGGATGGCGCTCACCTTTGATGAGTAATTCCCAGACACTCCATGTATGCCATATATCATATATGCCTACATTGGTGTGGTTTTCATGAGTCATTAGCTTGGCATGTGACTGCCACAGGCGACTCGGCCTCTCGGAGGAAGACCGCCTCTGCCGTGGAGCTCCCGGCTCGTTCGACTCTCGTTGAATCCGACTCGATTCCTCTCGGGTGGTCTAAGGGCCCAGGGATGAAGAGAGTCAAACGAGAGGGTCACAAAACGGATCTTCGGAACGGATCTTCGCCCGCGCGATCCCGGTTGACAAGGGGGAACCATTGGGGAACCAAAGGTGGGACAACGTCACCTTCCGCAAAAAAGACATCATCACCTTCTGCATCCGTCCTGCCATGAACAAACCTGCGGAGTCCAGGTGTTCGGCAGGTGCGGGTTTGGTGCGGTTTTTCTCCGACCCTCGGCTCCGATGCCCGTCCTCCATGCGGACTCTTGGTATGGCCGGCTTGGTATTAATGGTTTCTGCCCTGTCCGGGATGGTCGGATCTGGACGAATCGACGAATCACTTGGACCATGTGGAGCCACGTTTGGGGGTGACGTTGAAATACACCAATCCAATCCATATCAAACCCCGTGCTTCCAGTGCCCATGGCACGTTTTTGATCGATATGTTTCACAGCAGCCGCAACGGTGTTGGTGTTTTTGTGATATCGAGGTTGATCGGGCTTGTGGATGGTTGCCAAATCAGCCAAATGCTATGTGCACATTTCTATGCGCCCAGGCAAGCAACTCCAAGAGTCTTTGTTTGGTCGTTTCGGCATCAGCGGACCCCACGGTCACCGCGCCTCATTTCTGAGTGAGTTTGCTCGCAGCATCCCAGCCTCAAGTAGCACTCTCCCACAGAACGAGAAGCACTGCCCTCAAAAGTGTTCTGATATGTGCAGGTTCGGAACTGAATTGGTGGGTCAGGCATATTCGCAAATAATGGAGTTCTGCGTGCATGTCTGTTTGGACAGTCTGACATTGAACCAATGTAACATCATGGTGTTCTCTTGGCATACCAGGACCTGGTCTGTGAGGCAATTTGTTGCAAAGCTGCCCAAATATGTATTTATATATACTATCTATATATAAAAATACCAGCAAATATCTGTATTATGTATATAGAATTGAAATTGTATATACAAGTAGCAACATAATAAATCCTCCGTGCTGTACCAATTAGGATCACTCGCTTGGTATTATCTAGAGAAATGGTGTCTATAGAATGAGTGTAGAATGACTGGCAAGGGTGTTTCTATAGAATGCCAAGGCAAATGCAGCAGTAGTAAGACATCACTTGAGGGATGGACAAGCGAAACCGGTCACCAAGACACCGAGACACCGGCTACGGCAAACACTGAGAGGCGACGATCCACGTGATTGACGAAGCGGCAACAGGTCCGGTTTCTTCAAGGAAACGTTGGAAAAAACACCTACTGTAGCCTACTGTATAATTATATATATATATATCTTTATCTTTCATTTTAGCTATATATGGAGTTCTATAGTTTTCGTTCCCTTCACTTTCCCTTCTTTTCCGGCAACTTATCAGTTTTGAGGGACGTTTGGGAAGGCTAAGGATTTCAAAAGGGCGTTTGGGCAGAATAATAGGGGTTCTGAGGAAATTTGGGCAGGACAGGGTTTTTGATTAAATTTGAGAAAATTAAGGATAGTTGTATTTTGTGGGGAAACTTTGCCACCCTTAAATTCTCAATAGAATGCTTTGTCAGATCCACATGCCCACAGCACTGACCCTGTAGAATGCAAAACCAAATGTCTAGTACTACATAAGCAAAGTGCGTGTTATAGCACCCTGC